AAAAGGGCCTCAGCTTCACTGAATGGTTCTGGACACCGAGGTGGCCACCCAAGCGAGGTGTGCAGCGGTCTCGTAATGACAATGTTTTTGCAATGCTACAATTACTGAAAACCATGCATTCCCATGATGTACATTTCTCTATCGGAAATGCCATTCTAGAAACAAATGTATTGAGAATCCCAGACACTTAAAAGAAGAGGCTCACTCCTAAAAACCAAACAAGAGAAGTTGCTCATTACCTACTTGCTAAAAATAATGTCAGTTGTGCTAGAAAAAACATGTCACCCACTGGCCGCCCACCTGCTGAGGAGCAGTGTGCACCTCTTGGCACCTCGGGGAAACCCAGGAGAGAGAAGCCCGTGCTCAGGAGGAGGAGCCCGTCAGGGCTGAGCCCCCCGCCTGTGCCTGGGCAGGGAGGGAGGCCAGGGGTGCCGAGCACACCCTACCCGCAGCCGCTGTTTCCTGATGGCCAGAGGTATTTTCGTCCTGTGTATTCTTACATCTTGTGCTTTGTGAGCAGCTTTCCTCTGTCTTTGCCATGTTTGACATGCCGATAAAGCACATCTGGACTCAAAGATCCCTATTTTTAATTAATTAATTGATGGATTGATTCATTTTTGAGAGACAGGGTCTCGCTCTGTGGCCCAGGCTGGAGTGCAGTGGTGCAATCACAGCTCACTGCGGCCTGGAACTCCTGGGCTCAGGCCAAGGGATTCCTGCTTTTTCCAATGGCTTCTAAGCCGTTACCACACTCCGTTGGGTGGGTGCTCACATTGCGCCCGTTTGGCCAACAGGAGCCCCTCCAGGTTGGCCCCAATCCCCTCGTGACTGGTGCCATCCTTTCCCCCTCACCCCTTGTTTCGCAGCACGATAAGGGACTCACTCCACGCTCACGTTGTACCCACACTCCCCTCGCCCGGAAATGGGCATTTTTTGAGGAGCCCTGCCTCCTTTTAGTGGGGGATAGTCCCAGAGACCCAGGTACCGGCCCTGGGTGTGTGCGTGCGCTGCTGCCCAGGTGTGCTTGCCTGTCAGGGGACACGGTGCCCAGCCATGTCTCGAATGAATGGACCAGTTAGCGCATTTCTATTGTTGAGCTGTCCTCACAAGGGTCAGCTGCATCCGAACCAGGATTGCGAAACAAGAGTCTGTGTTCTCTCTCCAGAACAAAGAGTGCCAGAGGTCGGGATAAGAGAAGACAACCAACCGAGGTCTGTGATAACGGTTGTGGCTCACCGTGCAGAAGGGGTCGGGGGAGGTGTTCTCTGTGAAGGAAGCAGCCGCAGGAGGAGGCCTCCTCCACTCAGGACACAGGGGTCAAAGTCTGATCCCTGGCACTGCCCTCTTGGTTCTCTTCTTTGTCGTGGTTTTGGACAGCAAGTCACCAGGGAATTTTAACTAGAAAATGGGGCAGCGCGCTTTCTGGGACGCTCGCAGAACCTCGGGGGCCTCCTTGAGTTCTCCATTTGCCATTGCAGGGATGAAAGGAAACCAGTGGCCGCCCCGGCTGCTCCGTGCCCCTCACGCTCTCCCAGGCATCCAGGCATGGATCCGGAGCTGCAGATCCGGATCCGTTCGTTCCTTCTTTTTAAAACGTTTTATTGTGAGACATTTCAAACATGCACAGACATGGAAGAAAACTCCATGTGGCCTTAACCGTCATTCTTATTCCATCCATACCCCTTGCTCGCCGCCCCCCTAACTTTTGGAAAGAAAATTCCAAAGCAGGTTGTAAATATCCTGCAATATGCATCTAACAGTTCAGGACAACACCCCTATCACATCCCATGATACTTAAAGGAATGATCTAATTATCTGTCATCACTTTATGGTACCCAGCCTAGGCTTAACTTTCTTCAATTATCTTAAAAGTGTCTTTTTATACTTTGCTTAAATTGGGATCCAAACAAGCAAGGCTTATCCATTCTACTTGAGGGATAGATCTCTGAAGAGTATTTAACCCATCAGAGTTCCCCCCTGTTTGTAATGCCATTTGCTTGCTGGAGAAACTGGGGTGACTTTTGGAATTCTCCACATCCTTGATATGTCTGGTTGTCAATTGGCTCATAACGTATGAGGCATGTTTAGCTCAGGAAAAATGACCCAGTGCCGAGCACATAGCAAACTGGTGGGTGATTCATTGCTAAGAAATGTGAGAGAAAGGGCATATTCCCACTGGGCCATTTATTGGGTGATAAAAATCCAAGGGAAGGGGCAGAAAGGGGCAGGGCAGACTGCTTTTCTAACCAAGGAGAAGCCTCTAGGAGCTGTGACTCAAGGGTCAGCGGGAAGAAGGCTGGGGCTTCTTGGGCAGGCCGGGCACCAATGAGCTGGTGCACTTTTACTGCAAGAAAACCAAAGTCCTCTCACCAGCCTGGGAAGGAGTTTACAGAGTCTCCCCTCGTGTGTCTGGCCAGAATTCATTTTTGGTAAACTGTGCTCTCTGTGATGATTCATATTACGACAAAGCATCTGCATTGGCAGCATTCTTATCATGGGAAAATAAATCCTCAGTTCATTTTACAGCCTTTTAAACAAAACACATCTTAAAATCGCTTTCTGTGTTCATTTTCATTTAATTGACACCTCTACCTTAATCTTTTTTTTTTCTTACTATCTAGATATGGTGTGAGGCCAAGATCCACAGGTACAGGCACAATGTGGCTAATGACCCAGTAATTATGCAGGAAAATGACAGCTCAGAGCCTGGCCAGCTGTCTCCAAGCGGACACATCCTATTTCTTTCCTGCCTTCATTTCCTAGGGCTGCCATGACGAAATGCCAAAAACTGGTTGGTTTAAATAACAGACATTGATTCTCTCTGGTTCTGGAGGAGAGAGGTCTGAAATCTGGGCGTCCTGAGGGCTAAGCCCCTCTGAAACCTGCAGCGGAGGGTCCTTCCCTGTCCCCCGAGCTTCCGGTGTTTGCCGTCAACCTTTGGTGTTCCTGGCCTGCAGCGGCATCACTCCATTTTCTACCTTGTTGTCACATGGTGTTCTCTGTGTGTTTCTGTCTTCAGGTGGCCATCTGCCTGTAAGGGCACTAGTCACATTGCATTAGGGGCCCACCCTACTCCTGTATGGGGTCATCTTATGTAATTACACCTACAGTGACTGTATTTCCAAGTAAGGTCACATTGCCAGGAACTGGAGGTTCAACATAGATATAATTCAACCCATGTATTCCCCTTTCATAAGTGAGTTCAATGTAACTTCAGCATGCATATGCAGCTCCAAATACAGTGTAGACCATCAGCCTCCCTCTCAACTCACACTAACGTATCTGCCTTACCCAAAGTGGCGTGTGAACTCTACAGGCTACCGACGGCTTGAGGGGTTGTGCCATGCTTCTCTCCTGGCAAGCCGCACCCCAACATTCAGCCAGAGCTGACTGGATCCATTTATACCTGCCCAGTAGACATTTGTGAGCTCCCTTCCTATACGCCAGCTTTGCAAAGCCTGGGAAGAGGCGGGCGAGGAGAGCGTGTGAGGCTGCTGGGCGTCGGAGGGAAGAGCGAATGCAGGAAGCAGAGCCAGGCACCCTGACGCCTGCGCCTTGAAGAAGCAAGGTGACAAGAGCAAAGAGGCCAGAATTAGACACCTGGGCCAAGCACGCTCCCTCTAATGCCGAGTGGCCTTTGGCAAGTTACGAACTCTGCTGAGTTGGCATTTCCTTGTCTATGAAAATGAGGAGCCCCACGAGCCTTTCCAGGATTTCATGAGGGCTCAGTGAGATGACGGGTGAGTGGCGCTCACTCAGCACGCAGTGCTCGGAGGTGGTAGGGACCGTTACCCACCTGTCTGTCCCAGGGAGGCACAGAGGAAAGGGCGGAGCCTGGTGCACAGGTGATGAGTTCCAGAGGGAATGTCTGGACGCCCACTCCGTCCCAGGCTATCAGGGGTGCGCTGGGCGTGAGTGCTGCAGAGCAGGCTCAGCAGGGTGCTGCTCCTGCAGGGGGAGGGGGGCGCAGGGGAGCAGCCTCGCTCGGCTGCGGGGCACCCACCGGGAGAAGAGAGGGAGAAGAGAGGCGACAGTGACGTGGGTTTGTTTGAGCTGGAGACGGACATATGGAACCTCCACAGACCTGAGCACCTGGATCAGGTGTTCACAGAGTGCACCTGGAATTTAAACTCGGCCCTGTGGGGAGGACACAGACATGGCAAGGACCGCCAAATCATATGTCTGCAGCAGCCGTGGGCAAGGTGAGATGGAGAGCCAGTGTGCTGAAAGGAAAAGTGCCTGGTCACCTGACGTCGGAAGGCGTAGGAGACTTACCAACACTTCCCACAGGTGTGAGGAAATGGGGACAACGCAGTCAGATGGATGCTGGAAAGGGGAGATGGCTCGCACTGTATCTGGGCACTGAAGCACAACACTTCACATAGAAAAACTGCCCCACGTGCATGCAGAGATGGCCAGAAGACGACAGAGATTACAGATTTAAGGACAGTGGGTAGCAAAGTTGTTTTGAATTCTGTGCCAGATTCTTCATGAGCTATTTCCCTGCCCCCTAAAAATTGCACCCACTCTGAACCGGAGTATATGATAATGTGTGACCAACCACTGTATCAAAGTGCAGTGCAGAAATCAGGAGCAAATAAATAACCAGCACACTGATAAGAAAGAGCAAGAAAACAGTCAGTACCAGATGCTCTCCACAGCCCTGCGTGACCTCCACACGCCGCCCCCGCCCCGCTCAGTTTTGCACAGGGGTGAGCAGGGTGCACCTTGCACCCAGCACCTGTGACTTACAGGTTTATTATAGAGTCTAGCAGAAGAGTCTCCCAAAATGCCATAGGTTTTTAAAAAGTTAGGGGCCAACACCCAAAACATGAGAAAAGACGTCATCCTTTTTTGGAAGAAAATACTTCCTGTTCGCATGTAACAAACACATCAGTCACAGGTTCTCATGGTCCAGACCACATGCTCATGCTTTTAAGATGAATATCTGACAATACCATCTTAATCTGAAATGAGATTCATAGATGATACAACTGACATATCATACATTCCAAAAGAATCACCAAAATGACCTATATCTAATATAAGGAAAAAAAATGAAATGAACACAATTTATAATTAAATAATATTATTTATTTCAATATGTAAATGCTTGGGTACAATTACAACAGAAGATTAAAAGGTCCCCACACATTTCCAAAATACCCCTAGAAGGCAGGGCCACCCACCAAGGAGCAGCTGAGGGCTAGACTCGGGGACAGGGTCACGATTGGGCCTTGGGGACCACATGACTAGGAGCAGCACCTCTGGGAGGCACAGGAGGCTCTGGCGGATAATTAGCCAAGCCAGAAAGAGGAGCTCCTGCCAACATCTGTACCACACAATGAAAAACCTCCTGGCAAGAGGAAGTAAAGAGGTGAGGGGGGGAGCAAAGTCACTGAGCAAGTAGCCTGGAGCATAACAGGGAGACTCGGAGAGACATGCCCCAGAGCTGGCCCAGTCTCGTGTCTTAAAATCAACATGGTCAAAATTTGGGAGTGAAAAGGAAATTCTGATGAGTCTCTTTTAAAGCTATTAGAAAGCCTACCCTGTCACTGTCTTGAGAAGTGATCTTACGAGGGACGTGGGCACATAAGTGGAGAGCTGTAACGTTTCATTCGCTGTCACAAACTCAGCACAGGCAAAAATATGTGACATTCTGTTTATTGCAAATACCCCTTCCCCAGGTAAAGACTCGAAAGTCTGAATTCAGTTGACAACGGATGCCCTTAGGAGCTGCAGCTGCTGGACACCCACCTGACACCCACCTCCCTCCCCGACAGGTAGAGGGCACAGACCCTGCCGTGAGCCACACGGCGCGTCCGGCAACACCCTGCTCCAGCTAGGTGCTGAGTCAGTCACCTGCAGGGACTGCCAAGTAGGTGTGGGGTTTCCAACATAGAAGGAACAGCAGAGCTGGGGAAAACCACCTCTGGCCAAACCTCCCTGAAAAGATTTAACGGCATAGAGGTGTGGGATTTTGTCCCGGTTTCACTCTGCCAGGTTCTACTGCTTCCCAATCTGTGGCCCAGGGGCACCCTCTCACCCTGTAGCGGCGGTCTTGTACTTGCTTCCCCTTTATACCTGCCTGCTCTCTGTTTACCTGTTTTTCATGAGGACCACACAGGCCCGGGCAGAGCAGGAGGTGGGTGGCTCCACGCCATGCCCTCCAAGACAACGCCGGGCTCAACAGGGCTCGGGCAGCACCCTCTGCAGTGAGCAGGCTTCTGACTGTCGGCACGACGCCACTTTACCAGAATAGAAACGAGCGTCTGGATCAGGGCGTATTTCTTTCTCATTGTTCTTTCTTTCCCTTGGTTCTAGTGGTAGAAACAATTCCTGGAACAGCATCTTTCTGCTTTAAAATATCAATTAATTTAAAAAAAAATGGGTCTTGAGACACATTGCCCCTGAATATCTGGCCCAATGGGTTTATTTATTGTGATGGACTGAACTGCCCCACCACAAACTCGCATGCTAAAGTTCTGATCCCCGGTATCTCAGAATGTGATCTAATTTAGAAATAGCGTCCTGGCAGGTGCGATCAGTTAAGGCGAGGTCGTACTGGGGCAGGGCGGGCCCTAATTAAACATGACTAGAATCCTCTCAAGGAAAGGATTTGGACGCAGACCCACCACCTGCAGATGAAGGCAGGGATCGAGGTGATGCTCCTACAACCCAAGGAACACCAAAGACCCCAGCCACCGCCGGAAGCTGGGAGAGAGGAGGGACACATTCTCCCCCACAGCCTCCGAAGGAACCAGCCATCACTTCGGTCCCGGCCTTCTAACCTCTAGAGTTGTGGGGAAATAAATGCCTGTTGTGTAAGTCACCCAGCTCGTGGTTCTTTGTTATGGTAGCCCTAGCAAACTAAAACACTTATTGATATAGATTTTTTTAATTTAAATAGTGGCCATCTAGTAAATTATAACAAATTATTAGTATTTAATGTATAAAACCGATAATGAGGGCCCTTTCTCATCACAACACTTGTAGTTTGTACTCAGAGGGGAAAGTATTGTCTACCGGAAACTCCATCCACGGGCTGGCCCATCATGGCCAAGATTCTTTTCTGGGAATACCTGGTACCCGCGACATGCCCATTGGGTGGGTTTTGAACAGATGCAGTGAAGCAGCCATTCGGCAGCAGTTCTCCCATAAGAAACAGCCCCTAACTCGGACCCCATATGACCAACGGGCCACAGTAACTGCCACCTGACCACGTGGCGTCCAAAGCGTCGGACACCTCCCTCTTTGGTCCTCTTCCCGGACTTCCCGGGGACAGTCGACAGTGACACGGGTCAGCCTTGCGTCAGTTCTCTAAATACCTGACTAAATTCACGTGGCACATAGCACAGGTTTTGTTATTAGCTATTTTATTATTATATGTTTTATTCCACTGGCGACTGATGGCTGTTCATAAACGAGGTTCCACGTTGCCATGGAAGCTTGCGTGATTTTGAGAAAAGGTTTCCAGAAAGGCTTCCCAGCACATTTCCCTCCAAAAAGAGCTCAGTCGATTCTGTCTCGATAGCAACCGGTGGAGGTTTGTGTCACAGGGAGTCGTAATAATATTTTGGTGGCAACACATGCAAAATTACAACATAGATCTTGCTTGTTATGTTACACTGGTCATCTTCCCTTCACGCCCACACAAGGACAAAAAGCAGCTGTCTTCACATGAACACCGAGAAGGCACGATCGTGGGGAATCCAATTTCCACATCAGAAAGGCAAATGCTAAGAATTCTCAGACTCTGCTGCAGTCAAACCCCACGCAGTGCTTTATGCCGCACCCTTCGAGGGTTGCGTCGGTAGTAGCTACTTGAACTTCAGCCTCATGATGGAAGTGATTACCCAACAGGGTATGTACCAACGAGCTAAGCTGGCCTTTACATGCTTTGGCTCAGGGAGGAGTGTGTGAACTTTTTTCTGGGGTCAGAGTTTGGAACAAACCAGTGGGACAAACAGGTGACATTGTTTAACTAACAGAGCTGACTTGACTCTCTGCCTTGACAGTGGAACCCAGAGAGGTCCACTGATTGGAAAGTTTGGGTTCTGAGACTTTGTCAGCCTGTGTTTCGACACATTTTGAATTCTGTGCCAGACTCTTGGCTAAAGGTATTCTTTGATGACTGGGAACCCAAGGAGCCCGGGGGCCTCCGCTGACATTTGTCCTACTGAGAAAAGCCAGAGCTTCCCTGAGGCTCGTGAAGCAGGTGGTTTCCAGCGAGGGCTGGAGAGGGCTGCAGGGGGCCTGCCCCAAGCAGGGTCCTGCCACCCGCCCAGGAACTCAGCTGCCTGACAGCTCTCAGTTGTCTAGAAGCAGATAAGCCCCACGCGGGAGAGCTGTATGCAACCTCCCACGTGGTTCCTCTCCTCCAAACAAAGCAAACCATGATGAAACTTGATATCTTAATACTCCTTAATTGTGACTTCAAGTTCAGGCTACAGTTTATTTAATGAAAGAGAAACCCGTCAAGCAACAAGCAGTTTAAATCGCGTGTATTCTAACCTAGAAAAACACTTTGGCCTACAGAACTGGCATTAGTCTTACCTCCCCACATCCAAAGCCCTTCTAGCCATTCGCAAACACAAAGTTTAAAAAAATGCAAATGTCTGCTTGCAAGTCGAGGTCCCTTCAATCTGTCCTCTAACAAAGTTATGGAAAGGCATTAATTAAGTTTAGGCCATGCTGATGTTCAAGGTGAGGGAACGTCCGCATTGTCAGGTCCGGAGCCGGGAGGGAGACACACGAAGCCTTGTCTGTAGCAAAATGCTGTTTATTTGAGCATCTGGGTACAGATGGGTGGAGGCCAAAGAGCGTCCACCAGGAGGGAGGGGAAAGCCTTGGGTTTTGTAGAGGGTTTTTCCAGGGGGAGTGAGCAACACCTGCAGACATAGGGGAGGGGGAGCCTCGTCCTTATCAGGGAGAACAGGAATGCCGGGCGTTGCCATTGTTGCTGCAGCTGTCTGTGGTCTACTCTCTGGACTCCTGTGGCTTTTGTTTCACAGGCTCCAAGATCACCATCTAAGTTCTCCATTAACCGCATTACGTGGGTCCCACCCTAAGCCAACCTCACACACGTTAGACACGGCTGACGGCGGAGGCTGTGTTGTACCCCACATGAAGTGGGTGCTGAGGGTTAACCCACTCCCATTTCCTGATCTGAGCAGGACTTTGCTCACTCACAATGATAATGCACCCAGGTTGGGCAGACTCCCCGGGGACTGCCAGGACCAGCTCTGTGGGAAACCCGGGGCCAGTTAATCTGACTCCTCGGGCCAGTGGCTGTCCCAACAGCAGCAAACTTCTTTGTCACCCACATTTTGCCAGAGGAGGAGCAAGGGGCAGCTACAGTCACACAGAGACAAGCTCTGGAGCGGCCAGCCGCTGGATCTCCTGGTGCACGCCCCCCCCCCTTTCCTCAGGGGTGGGCTTTGTTTCCGGTTTTTTTTCCTTGGAGTTTTTTGGTTTGCACTTGTTGAAAAACCCACTTAAGATTGTCTTAGACGATTAAGGGAAATGATTTTTAACTCTCAGGTTGAACCAAAAGAAATTGCCATTCCTGTAGGTCAACACTTGTCAAATTATCAGCAATACCATATACTTTCAATCTAATAAAACGCCCCGCAGTAGATCTGGCTTCAAGAGAGGCATGATTCAGCAGCTCAGCCGGTTATCTCCAAGGACTTGGATTTTCCCAGTGTTTCTAATCTGCCTTCCACGTGGACAGGCTCAGCCTCAGTCTCCACGAGTCCCCACTCCAAGATACCTCATGATATCAAAATGGCGGCAGCAGCTCCAGACACGCATCTTTACCCCCCTCACCCACCCAGGGGAGATAGTGCACACAGGAGGAGGAAGCAGGTTCATGTTCCCAATCTCTTCTGCCTCCTTGGTTCTGCCAGGGTGGAATAGTATCCCACTGTGGCCAGGAGATGGGATACTTTTTAGCTGAGGCTAATCCTGATTGCTCCTGGAGTTAGGAGTGGAGTCAGTCCCACCCACATCACACATCTGAGTGTGAGAGGGAGACAGGTCCCCCGAGCCACACCTGGGTGCTGTTGCCAGAAGGGGAACGGATATGCGGTGGCGAAAAAGAGATGCCCACTGCGCACTGCTGAGATGAGCCTGAACAGAATGCGCCTTTGGACTCAGTGAGGCCCCTGGGGGCTGGAGTCACCCCGAGGAGGACGCCCTCGGGGAGGAAGGGACTGGACTTCCTGCTAATGCACCACCTGGAGCCCCAAGCTGGTCTTTGAACAGACACTGGATGAGGGTGTTTGTGCCCCAGTTGCAGACGCCAAGCACGCACCACACACCATGGTCTCTGGTCCACTCAGTACTACCTCTCAGTACTACCCCACATCCTTCCGAGGGTCCTGTCAACTCTATTCCGCTCCTTACAGCACCTGTCACAACCCTCTCCCCACTACCGCCCCTCCCTCCTCCTCTCAGTTGGTGGCTTTAGGAACAGAAGACACCAGGCACTTTCAGTTTCTCTTCCCACTCCCAACATCGGGGCATTCCTGCCTCCTCGGCCCTCCATGGTGGAGAATGAAGATTTTCCTCCTCCTCGGAAGCCAACCGAGCTCCCAGGACTCTGGCTGCCAAGCAGCCCCTGTCTCCCACAGTCTCGGCCTCTGCCAGCACATGATTCTTCCACCTTTCAAATTGAAATGAAATAAAAGGCCACCTCCCACCCATCTTTCTCCTCCAGGTCACCGTAGGTGGCCAGAGAGCTCCTACCGGCCCCTCCTGTCCCTAGGGGCTGCCCTAGATCCGTCAATTGTGGTGACTTTTGTTGCTGTTCCAAGGGAAACTTCCAGTCCTGATCTCAGCACCCTGGGTAACCCCAGGACCACAGAGGCAGACAACAGGGGCTGGGCACTGGCATGCACCAGTCTGGGATCTTGGCAGTCAGCTGGCCCCTACTGCTGTTTTTACAGTGGAGGCAACAGGTTACCAGTCCTGCCTGTGCTATGAGGTGAGGGACCTGGTAGTCAGCCCACAGTCCTGCCCGGCACACTGCTGACTCGGTGGCTGGGCCTCCTGCAGCTTCGAGACACCCACCCGTCTCCTCCCTGCAGGGTCACTCAGGCTCAGCTCCCCCCAGGCTGCACCCCCTTCACCCTGCTGGCTTCCTTCCCAGTGCTCTGCTCTTCTCCTTCCACACACTCGCCCCGGGGACCGTCCACGAGTGACGACTCTCGAACCGCATCTCCAACCCAGAGTAAAGAGTGCCGCCCCCCCTCATATCCTGGTCTGCTTCTAGAACCTTCCCTGAGCAAGACAAAGTGTCGTCCTGTGTCCCCAGTGCTTTCTACAAGTACTGAGGTATGGAAACGTCTCCTGAGGCTGAATGGATAAGAGATTCAGAATGACAGCGGAGTCACAGGATGATGCCTGAAGGTGTGGGCCAAGGCGTGTGAATAAAGAGCACATGGCATGAGACCAGGGAACACCCTCTGGAGTGGTGGGGTGCTCCTCCAAGGCCTCTTGGCAAACCTTGGTCAGGCCAGAGCTGCTCCGACTTCAGGGTGAGCCAAGACTTTATGCCCCTAAAAAGCTGCCGGCGGTGCGGCTGCCATGGGTCCTGCAGAACACACTTTGAGTAGCCAGGGTTTAGACCCTGCTAATTCCCTTTAAAACACACATTTTGCCACCAAAAAAATTAAAAAAAGGTACATAATGGATTACATTTAATAATGTAGCCCTGTGCCTGTTGCTATGGACAGATTTCTGCTAGTCGTTATTTTTAGGTGGCCATCTACTGATTATTATTAATAATGTGTATAAATTTCTTTACACATTTCTGATTTGTGCTTT